CCCCCCCCCCCCCATTTCCCCATCAAGGGCAGGAGAGCCGCTCCGTCCTCGCCTGACACCTGTCAGGCAGACTGCACCTGCTGCAGGGCAGCTTTGGGGTGGGGGCTGTGCCTGGTGACCTGCCCCAGCCGAGCCCTGGGCTCTGCGGACCCCTTGCTTCACAAGCAAGGACTGGCCCAGCCCAACACTCTCCCAAACTGAACAACACTTCCCTGTAGCCCCCCAAGGCACAGACCGCCCAGGTCGCCGTCCGTCCTCGTCCCCCCGTTACTTCAGGCCAGGTGTGCGGTGAGCAGCCTCCCAGGTTTGGGAACCAGTTTTCCAGCATCCCCGTCCCCCCAGCCAGCCCCCCTCCCAGCCAGCGGCTCGGCTGCTGTCGCCTGGGGAACTGCCTGACCCCACCCGCTGCTCCAGCACCCCATCCCCCGACCCCCCCTTTTTAAAAAAAAATTATAAGAGAATGTAGAGGCAGCAGAAGTGAGCCAACCGGGCGACCTAGGCTTAGGAAACACGTAGAGGAAGAGGGCCTTCGGGCGCCTGGAGGGAAGGAGTGGGGAGGCAGGGTCAGAGCTGGGGAGGAAGGGGAGGGGTTCCCTGTTACTCGCAGTATCGCCCTCCTTTGCACTTCCCTCAGTCTACATGCTCTCGATTTACTTCTAAATGTCATGTCCCACTGTGGACTTTGAGCTCCACCAGCACTGGCTGAGAGCTGTCCCCTGCTTTGCTGAGGCTCGTGGCCCAGGAACTGGCTGGCACACAGTAGGTGTTCAGTAAACGGCTGAACTGATGCCTGCCTGAGTGGTGAGAACAGAGCACAAGTGAGGAGGGGTCACTTAAATACAACGTCAGCCGGCGGACACGCAGCTGGGGCGCCCACGGAGTGACCTGCTCAGGCCGCGTGGGCCTGGGTGTTTGAACCTGCTCTGTGTCTTGTGATGCAGCTTAAAAATTCACTGTGCGCCCGAAGGTCGCTCCCGTCAGGAATCAGCGTGTGGTGGTAACATGAAAACTTTCAAACGCGTAAAGAATTCTTCTGAGTTTATTTGAGCCAAACTGTTGACAGTTGCTGGGAAGCAGTATCTCAAGAATTGGGAGAATGCTCCAGAGAATGGCATTTTTTTTCCGTCTATTTTTATACATCACAATCAAAGGAGGGGACGTGGGTGGGTTACACGAAATCCATTGTTGATAGATTAGGGAGGCGGGAGAAAGCAAAGGGGGGGGACCCCTGGGATTGGATAAAAAGTAAAATGATAGACACATGCTTAGGTGGGTGCAGGATCGTTAACAGGCAACAATTAACGTGGTAACAACAATGAGGGAATTGGTGATGTCTGTCCTCGCCCAGCACATTAGGCTGTGCCCCAGGGGTCCGGAAAAAGGGGAGTTACACGTTACCCAGACATTTCAAGGCTGTGTTGTCACAGATGCAGAAAGACAGACAGGCTCAGTGAGGGTAAAGGCTGCCCTTGTCAGGGAAGACACCGGCCCAGGAGGTGCCTGCCCACCATCACTGCTTTAGTTAAAGTTTAATCTCAGACCGTCCCTGTGGTGACTTTAGGTCTGAGTTTGCAAGACGGCCACGCGGGCCTCCCCTGCGCTGTCGGGTCAGCACGTGGCCCCCATGGAGCGCAGTGGGGATGTTGTAAATGACGGAACCACTTTCCTGCTGGTGCACATTTAGCCTGCGTTCAGGTTTGGGCGGTCACCAAAGGCGGCAAAAGACACGGGAGGCGCCTCCCGAGCGCCCGCACGCCTATTGCACTTGCCCGGTGGTGGGAATGCGCCACGTGCTCTCCTCGCCCATCGCGTGGCCTCCGCATGCCCGCAGCCACTTCCTCTTCCAGAGCCGGCGGCCAAGGGCCCAGGTGTTTGTTTACTTTCTGCTCCAGGGAAACCAG